GGAATTACATCCCCAGCTACAGCATAGTTAGAAAACAAAAGTGTGTGTAAGGGGGAGGGAAGGAGGGAGATATGATCTGCTCTTACAGCCCATGAATGAAATCCTAGCCCAGTGTCAAGATTCCCATTGACTTCACTGGTGTGCAGAGTTTCACATTGTAGGGTTGATTCTTCGCTATTAAATTGACATAACAGAACCTAGAATCAGTCTGGCAGGTGTTCTATGGGACTTTTCTATTAGGAGAGAAATCTTAGAAAAGAAAAAAGTATGACTGTCACCAGCGCCAGATTGACTCTCCTGTGGGCCTGGACTATTAGATATTGTGGGGTCCCTGAGTCTTTGTTCCTAATTTAAAACAGAATGATCACAATTATGGGATAGAGACTATTAACACTACACTAAATTTGCCTTTTAATTAGCATAAAACCAGACTGTGGATACATTTCAGTCTTAAAACATGTCGAATATAGTTAATTCAAAATAGCCTGCTTCTTACCGCAGAACAGCTCTTGTATTAGTTTCTCTGTGAGAGGGAGTTTGGTGCACAAGGGCTCTGACCTGCTGTGGGGGGTTGGAGCGTGAGATGTAGGCTCCAGCCTGAAGGTGCTTTCCACAGGTAGCTCACCGCCAGCAGAGCTCAGGCAGGCTACCTGCGTGCCAAGGCCCCATGCTGCTCCTGGAAGTGACTGGCTGCTGGCACTTATCCGCACACCCCTGGGGAGAGGAGGCCAGTGTTTCTCCCTACTCACAGTTCATGGAGCCATGGCCCCACCCCAGCAGGACTCGCAAAGACATGCCAGCAGTTGGCCTCTTCCAGGAGCAGCGTGGGGCTATGGCAGGCAGGCAGTCCACCTGAGCCCTACTGTGCCTCTGGACTTTTAGTGGACCGGAGATTGTGATCAATTGGCAAAGGCTCCTGGATTGGCCAGTTGATCACAAATCAATTGGTGACGACTGAACATGTAATTATGGATTTACTTTTGTGGGACCCCCTTCGCCCAAGTCCCTGGGCTGCAGTCCCTAAACCTCTTGATTAATCCAGCCCTGTGTGTCAGCAGGCTGTATCATGCAGCCTATCCTTATGTCTTGGTACCTTGCCTGACTCACTGGAATTAAATTACTGTAGATCTAATGTAATGTACATCACTATGCATATGCACACCGGAAAACTATTTTTCTTCTCATTGGCAGCAGGCTTCACTGCAATCTGTGGTTTTTGTTGGTTTTTTAAAAGACAAAGCAACATTTTATTTGAAATAACTGGCCAAATATGGGAGAAGAGGGTGAATTGGAATGTAAAAGTGGAATCCAGTTCACTGCTTTCAGGACTCTATGTTTAATTTAAGCTAAAGCAGCAACTAACTTTTGATGTCTGCCTAAAATTGAGACAATGGATACATCTGGTGGCTAGAGTGCATCTTCCTTGTTACTTGGATGCATCTTCTCTGTGTCTTGATCACTATTTGCAAACTCGGAGGTGCTCTCTCTCATTGCTCCCCAGTTTTGGGCATTTTCGTTTCTTAGCAGTTTTCAGTACAAAGGTTGCCCCCATATTTAAATTGTTGGGATCTTTGCTTCTCCATGTATCGAAGAGATCAAAACTATGCTTGCAATCTAATCAGGCTTGTTTAATTACTTCCTTTCCCTCTCTCCCTTCCCCCCCCACCCACACACACACATCTTACATGTAAGAAAAACTTAAAAACGTATGAGAAGAAGTGTGTAAATAATTTCACTTTCACAAGGCCAACCACCCGTAGCTCCAGGGCTGATTTTATTCATGCCACAACATGTTTTGGCATCCCCATGCAGTGTGATTTTGTATTTTCAGCTTTCGTGTTTGTGGTCAAAACCTCTAACCTCACATGCCCATAACATACATTTTGTTGGTTCCTGCCAGATTATATATTTTTTAAAAATGTGAAAATGACTCTATTCAGTATTGGCTTGAAACAAAACAAAAACATTAAAATCCTCTTCATAAGATTTTATACCCATTGATCAAAGAGTCTCTCCTTCTCTTCCTAGCATTATTTCTAGTGTCTCAGAAGGATGATCTCACACTCAAACTAATGTGGTTAATCTTCCTACCACATTAACAATAACAGGGATAATTCTGCAATCTTACTCAGTCACCTCTCAATGGCATCACTGGCAAGTTTTGCCCAAATAAGAACTGCAGGAGCTGGCCCACACACACTAAGGTTTCTTTTCTGTAGTGAAACTTTTCTCCGTTCTTTGAAAAAGAGGTCGGGGGCGACCAGCTGCCTTCTGTACCACATCAGAAGTGGACTTACCTAACCGAAAACATTCAGAAGCAAGTTTTTTTAAACGGGACTTTTTTTTCTATTTTCCTTAAAGCTTATTAATAGTATTTTTATGTAAAATTAATGTTGGACTGTTCATAATTTTCCAAATGAAAGCTTTCAAGTGTTTTGATCCCAACTTCTGTATACTGCCAGAAAACAGGTTCTAGCCCCCCTTTCTGGGTATGTATGTGCAGTACAGACCTATGTGGAAGGAGAAATTGAGCTAGTGACTTTTTCAGTGTGGTAGCCAACTGTGCCTATTGCCTTTGCTTTGGGGAGGGTGCTTACTGTTTGTTGCCACTGCAT